ACTATACTTTTAAGTTTATATACACTATATGCAATAAAGATAAAATAACTGATGCTAATGGCAGTGTTACTATAACAAATATAAATGGCAAATAATTACAATAATAGCATTTGTAAGCCCTAGGTAATTTCTTAATAGAAGAGTGAGAAAATGCAAAAAATTCAATAAATCTTAACTATGCAATTTCCACTTACTGTCATTAGTGTGTGGATGTGAAATTTTTTATCGTCCATAAAGTGACATTGTGGCATGAGGAACTTAAAATGTTAAGGCAGTGGACCGTTAACCACCTGGGAATATCTAGAGCATTCTTTCCAAAGGAAGGCACTCTGCAACTACCTAGTGTGCACTCAGTAGTCTGAGAGGTGAAAAAAACGTCCACTCAACCACAATATAGCATGGGGATTCTAAGAGAGCAAGAGAAGGCCACCAACTTTAACTTTTTGAATCCCTCCCGCAAAATAAATGGAGAAAAAGTCAGCAAATGTGGAGTTTAGAACTGGATATAAATATAGGTGAACTATGTTGAAATACCCAGGTAGTTGCAAAAAGGTGGTCAGTTTTAAGAAAAGCCAGTAGAATAAAAAAGAGCTGAGATGATTTTCACTCTTTTTTGTTTGTTTCTATTATGCTATCACACAAAGGGCTTTTCAATATCACAACATATTATGAGGACGGAGTTAGTACTATTAGCATTTCATAAACTATTTCAAAATCCAGAAATTCATGGATAGCTAGAAGCTAATTAAGTGGCACAGAAGTAATTTAAATTTATGTTTGCAGACTTGAACCTTCAACTCTTTCTATAAATATTTTCATAGAGACCCCTGTGAAGTGGACACCTGGACACTGGTGGCTCTCAGATATGAATAGCCTCATAGTTGTTGTTTTGGTTTTTGATTTTTAAATTCACATGGGTAGATCACATTAGTACATGTCTCAAAGTTTTCTTCGTAAATAGATTCTCTATTAAGAGATTAAATTAATGAATTCATTCATTATGGACCAGTGACCTGTGTGACCCTACTTTATTAGTCATTACAATCAGACACACGCAAAAAAATCACTTGGCTTAGTGGGTGAATCAAATGAGCTTGCTGGATTTTAGGTTATTGTTCTAGTGATAGCCAAGTTTTTAGATGTAGATCTCAGAAGCAAAAAGGGAAGAGTAAAGTTTTCCTCTCTAAAGGACCCCAGAAGGTACGATTTTGCTAAAGGTCATGATTAATACAGAATCAGCAGTGTGAAGATATTCACTAGCAGGAGCTGTCTAGTGAGAGGATGTGCCTGCTCTTTCTGGTCCTTCTCCTTTCGGTCCCTGCCTTTTCTAACCTCTACAAGCAGAGTGGAAAGAACACTGACTTCTGAGTGAGAGCCAGCTCTAATCCTGGCTCACCTTGAGCCCTGGTGTCCTGCATGCAGAAGATCTAGGTGGATTTAGGGAAGTTTTTGCTAACTCCCTTCACCAGTTTACATCCTGTTGCTGTGACCTCACAGAACCCTCATTCCCTTGTGATGGCAAACGTGGGCAGGGACTATCCCCTGCTGTGTATCCCTAACACTGACTACTACAGTGGGACAAAGTAGTGTTCAAAATAGAACTTGCCTACATGAATTCACATGACCCAATCAGGCTATGGAGATGTAATGTGAAGTAGGAAAAAAGTTGGCCCTGTAGTGAACTAAACTGAAAAACACAGGCCTACCTGAAGGACATTGAAATCCAGATTTTTAAATATCACTAAATAGTGGTAAAATCACATTTATCTAAGCATTCAGCCTGCTGCATCAAATTTATTTTAGATTTAATTAAGAAAAAGTATGCCTTTTAATTCCATTGAGTGTATAATTACCAATCATTTTTTTAAAATGTGTGGGGTAACAGAGGAATGATAGATAAGGAAATTCAGCAGACAAAATCTTGTGGTCTTACATCTCCCTTGAAGATTGTGATCCTAATCCAGTACTGGGATTATGAATGAAATATATATCTTCAAAATTATCTCATCTGAGACATTTTGAATTTCATAGAGAATGAAACAGAAACTCACCAAAATTATACAAATTATTCAGGAGTCATTTGTTCTAAACCTAGAACATTATTAAACATCCCTTAATAACACTCCACTGCTGCTGAAACTAGTTTGGCTCGTGGATAGAGCATCAGCCTGCGAAATGAAAGGTCCCAGGTTTGATTCTGGTCAAGGGCATGTACTTCGGTTGCGGGCACATCCCTAGTAGGGGGTGTGCAAGAGGCAACTGATCGATGATTCTCTCTCATCGATGTTTCTAACTCTCTATCCCTCTCTCTTCCTCTCTGTGGAAAATCAGTAAAATATATTTTTAAATAAATAAATAAAAAATAATAATATTCCACTGCTCCTATTATTTTATTATGATTATTATTATCTATTTACATTTCCCCCCAGTCATGTCTAGTATATATTCATAAATAGTTTTATTAACAGTTCCCCAGAAGAAAATCAAATATCTTGATGCTTAAAGAGGGAGAGTTTCCCAAATATCATCATGCATAGTAGCCAAGGGAAATTTTACCAAGTGGCTATTTCTTAGGTAGTTAAAATGACAGTTAACAACCCAGAGCATAACAGAGAAAGAGCTATCTGAAATAACTAGGGGTGTAGGGTCCACATTTCCATCAGCCTCAATTCCTTAAACTTGGAAAGTCCCAGTCATCTCCCGCCAAGCTTTGGATCCTGATGATCAAGGTGTGAATTCCAGCTCTGCCTTAGGACTTTGGGCAATTTGGTGAATAACTTCACTTATAACCTAGAAAAAAAATTTTTTCCAAAGGATTGTTTTGAGCATTCAGTGAGACTTTCTGCAAAGGACTGATACACAGTAGGCCACTTTAAATATTCCTTTCCTCTATAGGGCCATCAAACCCATCATTAAGTCTATTACCTTGGCTTTTCTTGACCAGGTGTTTCAACATTTATTGGGCTTAATTTCCAAATCTTATAAACTTTTAAAATTATTCTTAATAATATATTTGTTTAACATTTCCACTCAGCAAAATATTACCATAAACCAAACATAGAGAATGTCTGATCAGTGGGCAGAGATTAATTGCTCAATTATTATGTTCCCACATGTTTTATAGTCTCTATTTCTCAAAAGAGTTCAGATTTGAATTTATAATGCAGGGTCATTAAACCACATTTGAAAGCTAATTGATAATATATAATCTCAGCAACATTCTTTTTGCCTTCTGCATAATGAAGCTCAGAACATTATATCTTCCAATTAAGTGTTTGGTTATATTCCTTGCTTCCATGTATCATCAGTTCCTATCATTGGCCATTTTTCTTTTGTAATTTCAAAAATTTTACTGGAAATTGGTATATCCTGATTTTCCACCAAAATAAATATAACCTGCTATTAACTATAATGTGTTGTGGCTAGGTTTTATTATCTGTAATTATTGGGCCTCTTAAAAATAAGACACACAATTGTCCCTTCTTTAAAAAGCATTATAAATCCCTCAATCTTGCTGTCAGTATTCATCCTTTACTTTTAGTGTGGCCAATAAGAAATCACCCATGCTGAAACCAGTTTGGCTCAGTGGATAGAGCGTCAGTCTGCGGACTGAAAGGTCCCAGGTTCTATTCCGGTCAAGGGCATGTACCTTGGTTGAGGGCACATCCCCAGCAGGGGGTGTGTAAAAGGCAGCTGATTAATGATTCTCTCCCATCAATGTTTCTCTCTATCTCTCTCTCTCTTCCTCTCTGTAAAAAATCAATTAAAATATGTATATTTTTAAAAATCATCCAAGAGAGAAAAAGGTCACCCTATCTGCACAGCTGCCTTAATTCTACTCCCTGGGCCCAGAATTCAACTCAGTACAGCCACTTCTTGGCTAACTCTCTTCTTGAATCCTGCCTCCTTCCTTTCCCTCTCAAGTCCGTCCTCACCTCTCACCCACTCACCACCCCATCACCCACAGTCTATCCAGCTGTCTTTTTCAAGTTTCTTATTATTTTGAGTTCTATTTCATTTTGACAAGTCACAGGTTGCCTGCATTTATATTGTTCAAAATTATTTTTTTTTACCTTATTTATATCAATGCTACAAGGTGGACATCTTGTAGGTGTGGGCATTAAACATCCATTAAATGAAGTTATACAAAAATGTTTCTGGTAAATGCTTAATAAATATTGCCTACTGTTTTTAGTTTTAGTGTTATCATGAATTCATCTGTAATTATGCTAATAGCATGAGCACTGAAATTTAGTTAATTAATCCTCTAATATATTTTATATCTAGTACAGCTTAATATTTTATGAATTAGTTTCAAGACTATAAATTATTTAAAGGGTATCATGCCTTCAATGTCTCTGTGTCTCCTAAGTAGAAATAGTGAAAATTGTACTAGCAATAGTCTATTATATCATGATATCATTATAGTAATCTTCTAGGGTTAGATTACCATACCATTTGATAGATTAAGAAGCTGAAATTCACAGAGCTTATAATGGCAGAACCACAATTCAACGTTAGATAATGTAACCACAAAGCCAGTTCTCTTAACCACTATGACAATACAAAGTTGACACAGGAACAACAAGGGGTTAGGGACACCAACCCTTGCAGTTGAAAATCCATGTCTAACTTTGGATTCCCCCAAAACTTAACTTGTCTCTTAGTATCTATGGGGGATTTGTTCCAGGACCTCCTGCAGATACCTAAATGGAAAGATGCTCAAGTTTCTTGTAAAATGACACACACATCAATGCATGCAGTTGACCTTCCATATCTACAGAATCTCAACCTCAGATTGAAAACAGTGTTGGAATTGATTGGGCGGGGGGAAAGGGGGGGCGGGGGGAATCCATATATAAGAGGGCCCATGCATTTACAACCCATGTTGTTCAAGAGACAACTATACTACCTAAACTCTATATCGTAATACCCTTCTATAATAAGCATCTAAAAGGCTTATTATCTTGATTGTCTCATTTGATTCTTCTCTCTTGCAGATGGACCCCCATGAGAACATCTTGCTGAGCACTCTTGAGATAAAAAATGAAATGGCCACATCAGAGGCTGTGATGGGACTTGGAGACCCCAGGAGTACGATGCTGGCTTACGATGCGTCCAACCTCCAGTATCGGAAAGCCGGGCTGCCCAGGCATACCTTTGGCCGAAATGCCCTGGAACGACACGTGGCACAGAAGAAAAGCCGCCTGCGGAGACGCGCCTCCCAACTGAAAATCACCATCCCCGACTTGACTGATGTGAATGCCATAGACCGGTGGTCCCGCATATTCTTCCCAGTGGTTTTTTCCTTCTTCAACATCGTCTATTGGCTTTACTATGTGAACTAAAGCAGAGCCTCCCTCGGGAAGCAAGGACTAGATGCCTCCTCAAACTAGTTGTACAGCCTGACGTAGGACTTGGAAAACACATCAATCCAGGACAAAAGTGATGCTAAAATACCTTAGTTGCTGGCCTATCCTGTGGTCCATTTCATACCATTTGGGTTGCTTCTGCTAAGTAATGAGTACACGAAGGGCCTTGTGATTTTTCCAGTTAAAATGCAAGTGATTTGTACACATGCTGGCAAGACTGAGTCTGCGTGTTCCACTTCATCTGCTTAGTGTGCAGCTGACACGGAGGGGAATTACGTAAAAGATATTCTTAGAAGGCTCGATAGCACTATCAGTCATTTCTTTGAAAAGTCATATCCAGGGTGTCATGCTGCTGAGATGGCATCATGCTTAGGAAACATTATTCTCAATGCCATGCGAACATGCTTACGGAAGATGGTCTCTGCCCATCTTATTAAGGCGATAATGGTGCCCTGGGATGAAAATTCCCACTGGATTCTAGAAGGTTTCTCACGTAGTTCAAAAAAGATGGGGGCAGTCAAGAGAGAGATTCAGGAAGCCAAGTTGGCCAGTTTCAGATTGCTTGAGCACTGGGAATCAACTATGACGTCTTCCATTTTGGCATGTAGACCCCAGGAGAATTCTAAACATTATCATGCATGATGACCAAAGAAACTTTTCTAAAACTCTATTTCCTAGGTGGTTAAGAGTTAAAAACCCAGAGCAGAGTGGGAAATTCAGAAATGACTGTTGGAACAAAATTGAAACAAGCAAGCATCATGACCCTTATCAGCCCACACAGCATCTGGTCTATTCGTTTATGGTCAGTGGCAAAGGTAGAATGAGAGATTTTTTTGTTTTGTTCCAACTTCACAAGCTTTGGACAGCATGCCTATAAAGGCTTATATAATTTATTTAATTAAAAGACACCCACAAAAGAGAAAAGTTAGCCAAATTAGCATCACCTTAGATCCATGTTAGATTGAGAGTTATCAAATATATGAATATAAAGCACAAACAGGTTGCTATTTTCACACAACGTCAGCTGTCTCTGCAACATTTTTCCCTATAAGTTCATTTCTGACTTTAATAGAATATTTCCAAAGAGGGATTTGTTCACTTCTTTAAAGAATTAATGTTCCTTTCCAGCTTTTCTTGCTTCTGAAATTCTGATTATATTCTTAGAAGACAGAAAACAAACGTAAGGCTTTGGAGAGATTTAGTGAATTCCATTTTCTTGTGTGCAATGAAATTCACCTTGCTATTTTTCATAGTAAACAATACTTCAAAGATTATGTGCACAAATAGAGTTAGTTTGTGGGTTTATTAGGTTTTATTTTTTTAAGATTGCTTTCATTGTGTATGTTGCCATCTCCCCAATCAAGGAAAAATGATAAGAGTGGAAAATAGGATAACAAAGCCACATTAACCTGATGAAGGATATGGACCTCAGTTGATACTTCAGAAAAATGTCTAATTGATAATCAGGTAGGCATGATGTATTGTTTTATTCCAATTTTAAATTATCATTGTACTTCATTCTATACTAATTGGATATATGAATTTATATGTTGGACAGTAAGAAAATAGTGAACTGCTTAATTTTCCTTAAAGTGTCATTTTACTGAACTTTATCTTGGAGCATGACTTTGCTATGTCTATTTAAAAAACAAAGACTCTTCTTTTCAGAGTAACATTTCTTAATTTTGCATAATAGTCAGTGTTTAAATATTATGCTTTTTCCCCCTGATGATTTATTTAGCTGCTTGGAATAGGGTGGATCCTATTGTCCTTCTATTCCAAGTATCTTAGTACTTAGCCTTCTGAATTTAGCTTCAGATTGGATGGTATTTTTCTCCCCACCTGTATCAGGGACTGTGACCCTTATTTCTTGATTATACACTTGAACACCTCTGAGTATGACCTGTGGGTAGAATCCAACCAAGGTTCTGTCCATGGGCTCAGAGTAGAGATTCTTCAAGTTTCTCCAGGGACACACTTCCACCTAGATAGCAATCTGGGGGCACCACACTAATAAAAGTGCCTGCCCCTTGTCACCAGGGGTTCGTCTGAATAGCATATACCAGGAAGGAGTATATTAATAACTCAGGTGCACAACTCCAAAATGCCATTCTGGAATGGTTTTTCTAGAGACACCCCTGAGCCCAAGTCAAGAAGTGGGCTCTTATTTGTAATTATTGTAAAAGCCATAAACATCCTTGGTATTGTCACATAACAAATATTTTATATCCGAGGAAGTCAACAGAGTAATCGAGATTGAAGTGGAGAGAAGCAACCTCAAAGCATGAGCATCAAAACCATATAACCAGGGATTCATTTCTACCCCCAGTGATAAGCAGAAACTGAAAAAGGAGAAAGGATGGAACCTGGAACAGATGCCCTAGAATAGAACCCATATGTTGGCATTCAATAACCACATAGTTAGAAACAACTGACTCATCTTGCCCAGAGGTAACAAATGGTAGATATAGAATTTATTCTTTAACTATATGTTTACAGTGGTTGAATTGGTTTGAGAGGAGGGGGTTGGGGAAGGGTGTTAGATCTTATAAGTCCACAAAGACCAGTCAGCTTGATATTCAGTGGTTAAAATTAGGGACCACAAAAGTGTGTTTTGGCAATTCTGATATGCTATTACTATCAGCTTATACATTTATGTACAGGTTTTTTAAATTATAAAACAGCCAGATAGCCAGCGATTAAGGTGTTTTTTCATCTTTCTGACATTCATAGGCGAATTCTGACTCTAAAATTCACAGTCGAAATGAAATCTTTGATCTCAATCTGTATATATATATACATATTGTACATGACTGCTACTAGGTATGAAATGCATTTTCAGAACTGAAAACTGATGCAACAACATCATGTGTTTGCATAGGGAATGTTACAGTTCTTTCCACTACAGTTTAACAGGAAAGACATAAAATAAGCAGTGCTGTCTAGATCTTTCCTCTTCTCATTTCTTCAAAAGCAGTGCTCGGTTAAAAAAAAATAATAATTAAACAAATAAGTAAATAAATAAATAATGGTTTATGAACCAAAAAACTTTACATTGTAGCTTTAGTAACAAAAAAAGAAATATCTGTCAGCTTAAAAAAGCACAACACATAGAGAAAGTTCAGTAGAAAGCATAAAGGAGAAACGAATCATGCTCATTTTAAGCCAGACCTGCATTTAATTGGCAACTCACCCAATTTTTATTTTCTATAGATAACTGTGTTCCAGTCTTATGATTAACTTCATACTCAACAACAGAAACAACCAAGCAATCAACAAACAACAGGTCATACAACAGTATACATGTATATAAGTGTATATAGAGATCCATATAAACATATATGCATAAAAATATGCATTCATACATTGGAAAACAAAAGGAATAAGCTAATATCTTTTATTTCCTTCATTCAACCAATGTATGACTGCTTTTTACTTGGCAACACAAATCCACATATTGAAACAAGTGATACAGGGTACTGAGTGTTTCTCTATCAGCAAATAATGCCTACTGTTCTTAGGAACCATTGCACAATCCGACACTACAATAGTGCTGTACCTCAGAACATCAGAAACTCACTAGTTCTCGCATTGCTTGTCTACTTGCTCTTTTTCAAGGAAACAAATCACATTGTCCATTGGTCATTTAAAAACAAAAATGTCTTAAGGAAACAGAAAATGATTTTTAAAAATCCTTCCAGGAGGAGGAAAAAAATAACTAAACCTCACCATGTTGGTTAGGGCAAATATCTCAACTGTAGCAATCATGCCATTTTGCTAAATGTACAGAGTCTATGTAATGTGAGCAACCATAACTTTCACTGAGTGAGTGTAAATATTAAAACGGATTTCTTAAATATTTTTAACTTCTTATTTGTATTTTATGGTAAGGCAGTGTGCAAATTCCATTCATGGCTTATGTTGATGTGTTAAAATAGACTGTAAATAATTAAATATGCTGTAAATGAATACTCTATAGATACAAATACTTCATTTTTTTCTCATTTTTTTTATTTCTTTTTTACTAAGTATAGTTACTGCAGAGCCCCAACAGAGTAATTGAAACATTCTTTTTGCGTAAATGGTTTGGGATCCCAGATAGAAGGGTTTCAGTTTAATAACACACACACTTAATACACTCACAAACATCTACACATATGGGCTCACTTACAAACACCTACACACACTCACTCATAGACTGATACATATTTACACATACACGCTGTCAGTCACACACATCTACATACACACACCTGCTCACACACACATGCATCTACACACATACACACACATTCAAACACAACATTCTTTCCTTTGCCCATTCACTCCCATTCTTCCTCCCTCTATGGGAAACACACAGTATTCATGTAGTGAATGTAACAAACCAAGAGATAGCCTTAGAAATGGCAATTGGGAAAAGCAGAAATCATCATTATTTACTTGAAAGGGTTTTTATGTGTCAGAATTTAAGAAACCAAAGGTTGTAACTTACATGTCAATTTTCAAAGAGTAAAAGTTTATATTGACAGCACTACAGGAAATAAAATTGCTTATGATGCATACCTGCTCCAGAAATTTGTTACATCCTAGACCTTTTTTTTTTATATAATAGTTTTTGTCCTTAGGTGGTATTCTTTCTTTCAACCAAAGACTCCAGAATTATTAAAAAACAAAAAAAGGAAAGAAAAAGTTAAAAATGAGGGAAAACAAAAAAAAGACACTGCTTTACACCAAAGGTATGAACACGATTTTCCAAGTACACTAGGAACATTGTCAAAAATAGTAAAGATCCAGAATAATGCTAATTAAGATACTACCCTAAAGAAATCATTTAAGAAAAAAACAAAACAAAATATAAGCAGCAGTACTCTTAAATATCTGTTGTTATTTGGATAGGGAAATAAAACATTTCTACAGATGTTTGCAAAATTGTGACATCAGATATTAATTTGCTTCAAGTTTTTTTGTGACAACTA